TTGCGAGCTCAGTGTTGTTGATTTCAGAGCCTCCGATCGGTCAGATGCGGCCGCCTCATGGCAGCGTGACGCCTCAGAAGAACAGCAACCTGCTGGTGATCATCGTTGTTTCTGTGGGAGCCGTGACTGTGGTGGTGGTGGTGATCGTCGCCCTGATCTGCACCCGCCGCTCATCCGCACAGCAGAGGAAGTGAGTTTGTTGGTATAATATAACATAACATAACGTAACGTAACATAACGTAACATAGTTGTATTACACATTTGTAAGTCACTTTAAATGCTGTAAAAGTGTCTGCTAATTAATTTAACTTAATATATAATAGGGATGGAACAATTACCGGTCTGACGATAAATTGTGATAAAATTCCCCACGGTTAGTATTACCGTTTCATATTTCAATTATCATTAAAATTTAATCCGATTACTGCGATTTGAACAATTGAGGATAAATAAATACTGTCCATCATAAAGCAAAGTATTAAATAACAGTCTCAGGTGCGCACAGCAGCAGAGTAGTGTAGTTTTGTGTGAAAACATGGCGGAAAGCTGAGAGGTTTTAAAAGCGTGCTAAGGGAATTATACACATGAATTATTTAGTCTATATTGATGTACCTCTGAAGGTTCTGGCTGTCTTCAGAAGAGATTCGATGGCATTTTGTTTTCATCTTCACTCCATGTTACGGGAACGTTACGGAAAAACAGCTGTAATTCTGCTGTTCCAGAAGCGCCACCTGCTGTCAGAGAGTGGATTTACAGAGACTTACATTCACATTCAGCCTGTGTGCAGTTTCTGTCTGGACTAGAAACGACCGGATTTGCATGCCCTGCTGTGAATTTTGACCTGTATATGGAAAACAGTTTATGTGGATTCTACACTTTTCAAACAATTCGGATAAGGTATCTAGAATTATTTATGGAGCAGATAAAATACATGTAATTATTTATTAATCAGTTATCATTTTGACTTAACCCTTTTCTTTATTTAAAGGCTGAAATGTGAGGTTTACCATTTTATGAAACGTTTTCAAAGCTTTATTTGAACATTTCGTACATGCTATTCAGTCATGTTGTCATTTAAAATCCAGACATCTTTGGTAATGATATAGTTTTAGTGTTTATGCAACAAAAAAGTATTTTTTTTTATTGTTTGTCGACTTTAAATACAAAACTTGCTTAAACGATTTTTAATTTCTTGCTGAGAAATTTTCATACCGTTACGTCTCTAATATATAATATAATGTGTCAGTTTTTGACTCTTTCCCTGCCAGCATTTTTTTTTAAAAGTTGCCAGCCACCACCAGCATTTTTGATCATTTTCACAAAACTTTCATGGCCCACGAAATATTTTGTTGTGTTAATATCTGAACATACAATATGCTTCTGCTTAAAAAAATAAATTCTAGTTTTATGCATACTTTTTTAATCAACACTTAAATGTGGGTAAGTTCCATTTTTAAAAAAGCAACATTTTGATCAAAAAGCCAAGAAAATTGTGTTTTTGTCATAACTACATCTGGATCCGATTCAAAGCGATGATCAAAACCTAGATAGACTCGATCACTTCCATCAACACATTCAAAAGCTTCACAGTCATAAACCACTTCCTGTCGACATTTCATTCAGTAAGTTTTCATTTATATGCTGTTTAATACTTGATGATCGCATTATTTTACATATGCATCTGATTACACGATCAATTGTTTCTGCTTCTTCTTCACCCTGGTTTGATCCAGAGATTCAGTACTCTATCAGAAGATGTGTAATAGCGCCCCCTACCACATAACAGTGAAAACACAGAAAGCCTGAAAATTCCGTCAGTGGCGGGGAAAGAGTTAACAGGCATGAGTTACACTAAAGAATAGTAATGAGTGACACACGTGTGACATCATCAGTGTTTCTAATGATGATATTAACCAGCTGAAGTGTGTTCTAGATAAGAATGTGTGAGACTGTGTCTGTGTGAAGGTGAGATGCCACAAGTTCAGACCTCATTAGCACCTGCCACACACACACACACACTCACACACACTTCAAAACAGTTCAGTCTGAGAGCAGCGGCCCTGCAGACAAACATCATTATGTTTCCAAAATAAGAACTGTGATATTATTACTCTCTTAGTGTGCGTGTGTGTGTGTGTGTGTGTGTGTGTGTGTGAGAGAGAGAGAGAGAGAGAGAGAGATAAAGAGAGACACCTGTGTATAAATCTTACTGACTCCAAATATTTGAACAGTGGAATGGTAGAATACATATTATACATATTGAAAAATGCTGAGCACCTAGACTTTCACTACTAATTTCATTCTGTGAGTGGCATACCATTTTTAAAAATAAATCATTATACTGTATGTATTTTGTGCAATGGCTTTTTTTAGGACAACATAAATTATGACCATTCAAAGTTTTGATGTACAAGCAACTTAATTTCCTGTCCACAGAACTGAGTCAAAATGAACCCAGCCTGAGTGCAGTATCTTCACAAAGACATTTGGTTTTCTTTAGAAAGTGTCTTTTCCATCATGGTCTTTTGACCCTGCTTCAGGTAGGTATTAAATGTGGCATTGAAGCCCGCACACCCAAGGTGAGAGGCAAATACTGAGTGCAAAGGTTTCTCCTTTAGCCACACAGACAGCAGGTCTTTGTTTAGGCTTTCACTCCTGGATTAACCAAGTCTGTGTGCAAGGGAGGCCATGTGTTGTACTTTAATGAGAGATGTGTGTTTGTTGTTTCTTATGATTTGCATGGAAGTGTCAAAAATCTCAGGGGTCATACAAATCATCTTTGAAATTTGACAGAGGCCAACATGGATGGATTGTGTGGCATTCATTATCAAAAACCATGAACAAAACTAAAAAGTAAAAAAGACAATACAACATACTGCATTGTGTCCGGTTGCATGAAATGCTTAGTCCATCCATCCATCTGCATGTTATAAAACCAAAATTGTGATGAAATGTCTTAATTCTGAGAAAATGTCAGTCTTTTTTCCTGATAATTAGACTTTGCAACTTGCAATTTTGAGTTTATATCACACAATTTTGAGAAAAGTCAGAATTACCAGAAAAAAAGTCAGCATTGTAAGTTTATTTCTTGCAAATCTGACTTAATTTCTCTCAATTGTTAGTTTATGTCCTGCAATTCTGAGTTTATGACTCACAGTTGTGAGTTTATTTGTCACATTTCAGAGAAAAGAAGTCAGAATTAAAAAAAGTTGTAATTGCGAGAAAAAAAGTTTTTGCAATGAAAGGAGTAAGGGAAACCGGTTTGTAGTTCTCTAAAAGAGATGGGTTAAGGGTGGGTTTCTTAAGTAGTGTGGTTATACGAGCCTGTCTAAATGCTGAGGGGAAAACACCAGTGTGAAGGAATGTGTTAATGATGTGAGTGAGTATAACTACAAGTGAAATGGCTTGAATGAGATTAGATGGAATAGGATCAAGCGGACAAGTAATAGGATGATTAGAAAGGATGAGTTTGGAGACTTTCTTTTTAAAATATAATATAATATAATATAATATATCTCTGTGTTCCTGTAGGAAACGTGCGACACACAGCGCTGGGAAACGAAAGGGCAGCCAGAAAGATCTGCGACCTCCTGACCTCTGGATCCATCATGAGGAGATGGAGCTAAAGAACATAGAGAAGCCCTCGAGCTCCGCCCCCTCCGGCCACGAGTCGCCAATCCAGAGCTGCCAGGAGATGGCGCCGGTCAGCCACAGCCAATCAGAGAGCCAGATGGGCAGCAAGAGCAGCCACTCAGGTGAGGCGTTCATTGATTCGACCGCGAGCGTGTGTGTGTGTGTGTGTTTGTGTGTGTGTGTGTGTGTTTATTATGTATGTTTATGTGTGTGTATACAACATGTAAACACAGTGTTGCAAGTTTGATTAGTTTTGTTTACACGCTCTCTCTCCCTTTCCTGTGTTTCAGTGACTTTGGTATCCAGTTGGTCAGAGAACA